GGCTGGGTTTCTCTCCATGCGCAGGGGCTGGGTTTCTCTCCATGCGCAGGGGCACCCATACGCCAGGACTTGGGCCACTCATGCTTCATCACCACCGCGAAGGTGCGTGCTAAGAACACCTGACACCATGTACAGAACAAGTGGGGCTTCTCAACATAAAACAAAGGCAGGTGAACAAAAGGAAAATCAACAGTTTTCTTGATTCACCAGGGCCAGCTGCCACCCCAAGATCTGGAGAGACAAGTGACCTCAGAGTGCTGCAGTTATTTTCTGTTTTTCTGGGTAGCAGCTGTTGGAGCTCTCTGCTGGCGGGAAGTGTTCTGCAGCCCTGGAGGCTGAGTGTGGACTAGCTAGTACGCTAGCAGGAAGCTCCTGGTGCTGGTTTGAGGCAGCGGCATATTTTCATGAGTTTATCACAAGGAACTCCAGCAGGTCTCTGTGGCAAAGATCTAGGCATGATCATTTATGTGGCTGGCGGACAGAGGAGAAGAGAATCATGGTGTTACATAGCCAGAGCCTTCTGCATAGCTGAATTCTATCCACGAGATGAGAGAAGGAAGCCATTGCCTCAACCTTATTTCATCTGGAATCCACTTATGAGTACATATATGTATTCATGTATGTACATGCATACACATGTGCATACATGCAACATGTGCTTGTAGATATATTTAAACTTCAGAAAACCAAAAACAAAGCAAAAGTCTTGAAAACAGCTAGAAAGAAAATCTATTGTATCCATAGAATAGCAATTATAAGACTTATAGTGGACTTCTCCTTAGCAATCATGCAAGCAAAGAAAGAATGAGCTGGGGGTGGTGGGACACATCTGTAATTGCAGCACTTGGGAGGCTGAGGCAGGAAGATTACCTAGAATTAAGGCCAGTCTGGGCTACACAGTGAGGTCAAGGCCAGTCTGAACTGAACTACATAGCAAGATCCTGTCACAAACTAACCGAGAAGCAAGCAACCAACCAAATCCAATCCAAACCAAACCACCCCCCCATTTAATTAAAAAAGAAATTCATAAATTAATAAATCAAAGAATGGAAAACTATTTCATGCATCAGGAACCCAGAAAAAAGCAGAAGTAGCTATTCTAATTTTGGACAAAGTGGATGGCAACTCAAAACTGGTCAGAAGAGACAAAGAAGTTTGCTACATTGTCATTAAGGGAACAATTCAATGGGCACCAGGAAGAGATGACAGTTTTAAACATATCACAACAAATATTGGCATGCCTAACTTTATAAAACACATACTATGAACATGACAGATTGAATACACATCAATGAAATTATAATGGGAGACCTTGATACTCTACTGTCACAAATAAAGAAAATCAACTAGACAAAAAAAAAAAAAAAAAAAAGGAAATGACAGAGCTGAACAAAATGAGCTTGATGGCTACAGGGGTCCACCCCATAGTACGGAATGCGCATCTTCTCCAAGGCATGCAGAGCTTCTCCAAATGGTCCACGCGCTCGCTCATAAAGCACATGTAAGTGAATGTAAGAGAATCAGTACTGCCACATGTATATTATTAGATTATAGTGCAATGAAACTAGAAGTCAATAGCAAAGGAAACCACAGAAATTATGGAAGCAGATGGAAATTGAACAATACCTTTTTTTTTTTTTTTTTGTACCAGGGATTGAACTCAGGACCTTGCCAGGCAAGCACTTACACCACTAAAGCTATCTTCCTGGCCCAAACAGTACCCCCTTAAATAATCAATCAGTCACAGAAGGAATCAAGGAGAAAATTAGACAGTTCATAGAACCAAATGATAAAGCCAATGTTACACACCAGAACTTACAGGGGCCACTGAAAGCAGTGCCAACAGGGACGCTAGTAGAGGTGAAATGCCACATCAGAAAAATAGAGAGAACCCAAATAAATCACCTAATGATGCACCTCAAGGTCCTAAAGAGCAAGAATAATCCTAATCCAAAGCTCATACAGTATGAACACTTTGGGCTGCACACTTTCACAGGTAGGATTAAGCCTCACATCATGAACAGATCTTTTTCTCTTTCTTTCTTTCTTTCTTTCTTTCTTTCTTTCTTTCTTTCTTTCCTTCCTTCTTTCTTTCTTTTTTTTTTTTTTTTTTTTTTTTTTACTGGGGATTGAGCTCAGGCTCTTGTGCTTGCTAGAGAAGCACTTATTCCACTGAGCCACCTCCCCGGCCCCCATGAACGAATCTTGTCCTAGGTGCGAACACATTATGGAAGTAACTCGTGTGTCTACCTTATAATTTTAAAGTAGCTGTAAGAGGAAAATAGTTTACTATAGTTATACTGTACCGTACTAAAACAGCACTGAAAACAGTTTATTTGTGTTTATTGTTTTATGCTATACACAGTTGTATAACTGTCAAAGATGTCTAAGATTCATTATGTTTAATTTGCAAACAAAAGGCTGGGGAGATAGCTCAGCAGTCTAAACGCCTGCCTAGCAAGCTTAAGAACTTGGCTTTGGTCCCTGGTACTGCTGTGTGGGCCTTGGACCCCTGAGTGTGGCGGTGCACACCTGTAATCCCAGTGCTGGGGAGGATGAAACAGGACGATCACTGTGAGTCCAAGCTGTGTAGTAAGACCCTGTACCAAATAAATAAATAAATAAATAAATTGATTTACGAACAAATCTGAGTTACAGACATTCTCCTGGAATGGAACCCATTTGTAAGTTGGGGACTTACTATAGAAGAAAGGAAATTATAAAACTACAAGCACAAATTAATGAAATTGAGAATAAAAATCAACATAAGGAATCAATGAATTAGAGTTGGTTCTTTGAAAGAATAAATAAAATTTGTAAAGCCCTAGC